AAACAAGGGTACCCTTGTTCGAACCTCTCTACTGGAGGACCTAGTTTCGGAAAGGGGTTCTGCACTCTTTGTTGGCGAGTTGTCAAGCGAAATGTGGACCTCCGTTCCTTCCTGCACCTCTTCGGGCACCTTTCGGCATCTAGGCTTTGGCTTGTCAGGCTTCGTACTCTGCAGGTGGGTGTCCGGAAGATTGATCTCTATTGCTGAGAGCCAGGGGGAACCCTGGCGATGCCTGTTTTGGCCAATTTGGGTTCTCAAAAAATGGATGGCGTCTTTTCTTACAGAAGGGGGCTTGTAATCCAACTCATCCAAGCACGTCCTTTACCGCGAACTTTGATGTTGATTATAGGGGCAACAAGTCTTAAGCTGCCTGGGGTTCTGAGGGAGGTGGACAGTGGAGGCTTATCTTTTGATTCACCGATGTTCGCTTGACCATGTTTGTGGAGTTGATGTTTGGAATTGCCGTCCAGGTTTGGCGCCATTTATTCTTCTTTTCAAAAGGCTTCCAATTGAAATCGAAGGGATTCTCTTCTGAGATGAGTCAGTACTTCAAACTCATTTGGGGGGTTTTGGGGACTTCGCTCGAGGTCCGCGGGAAAACGGCCAAGCAGTTCAACCAAATTCCCGTTGTTCCTTGCTCCAGAGCGAGCATTGCGAACGCTGAGGAACCACCAAGCTTTTTGAGGGGAGCAACGTGTTGCCAGAGTTTTTGCACCAAAACCACACCCTTTGTTTTAAAAGCCGAAACAAAAAGGTCTTGCGAACCCACTGCCGGCATTTCGCTCACGGCGGTTTCCCGCCGCAGGCACGCAGTGGACGTCTCTCCTGGCATCCCAGAACCTGGGCACCGGGAACTCCCAGTGGGTGGTCGTGGACTACAACAGGCCGGCGGTTGGAGGGGGGCCTTGGGGAGCCCATGTCGGGGACGGACGTCGTTTTTTGAGGCAGGTGTTTGGTGGCTTTAAAGGAATGAAAGGTGAGCGAATAGGAAACCCTGACACCTTCTTTCTTTTTCTTTTTTTTTGGGGGGGCTTAACAACAGACACCCCATTTTCTGGCTCTCCCTGGGTGCATTAAAGTGACCAAGGGGATCTCATGTTTTCTTTTAGGGGCGGTTTCCCTGAGCCCACCACGAAACAGACCATGAATGGGTGGAGCTTGGTCCATTCCAAGGCGGTTTTCCTCAGGTGGAGTTTGACATTTCGAAGACGTCACTTGAATGGACCCAGGGAATCGAGGGCTTCGGGAATGAGCTGGAACCGGATGGATGAAAGCCCCTAGCGGCTGGGGGTTCTGTCCCAGCGGTTCAAGTAAAGCATCAAGAAGACGATCTGTTGAACTGGTCAAGCGGGGATGGGAGAGGGCGGTGTTGGCATCTGGTTTGGGGGCTCGTCAGGAGCGGCGCCTGGCAGGTGTTCGCGGGTTGCTTTTCTTTTTGAGGTGCCGTGGAGCGATTCGGGTTGGTTCAGCGGATTTGTTTTTTGTTGTTTGCCTACAACAGCTCTTGGTCAATGATCTTCTTAGTCTCTGGTTTGGTACTCTTTGGGTGCGCAGATCATGTTACCAAGGATCCTATTGGGGGCCCTATTGGCTGGAGGGTATTTGTCAAAATGAGTTGGGCCCTGACGAAACGATTAAACCATCATCGGGGGTGCCAGATGGCTCGTCTGGATGCAACCAACCCTTGGTCGCCCTTTGTTTTGATCAAGGCATCCTTGTTGCAGTTGGCTTAAAGTAGTTGGCGCAACTCCCCCATCATAGTTTGATCACTCTCTTTACTTGTCCACAGAAAGAGAGTTGCGCCATACTTTCACCCTTGTGTAACTTTTTTTGAAGATCGTTGCACCTCCACTCAAATGGGTGTAGGCCTCCAATCAAAATCGACCCGGGATTTATTGATCAACTGGGTGTCCAACAAAACATGTGCCAGTCAGGAGCCCTCACCATGTCCCCTGCAAAGCCAGCAGGGAAAACAACAAAACAACCCCTTTCCCGTATTGCTTTCGCAAAGGGCACACACACAACTACACACACACACACACACAAGAACGTGTTTCCGTCGCGAGTCGCAGGCAGATTTACCAGTCCTCTTTTTCTGTATGACACAACTCTCCTCCCAGGGCCCGTGGGCTATCCCTTTCCTGCTTTTTTCACGAACCCCGCAAAGTTGCAAGTGGAGGCAAGCAAAAGCTTGTCACGGGCGCCCGCACGGGACATTACCCACATGTAGATTGGCCCCTCAGTTTTATTGGGAATAGGCAGTTCACCTTCCCTGAACAGTCATCATTTACCCGCATCTTCCCGAGAAACGCCACGGTTCCCTAAACAAATCGCCGCTTTTCGGCCAGGCAAAAACGTGTTTTCTCCTTTAGAAACCCCCAAGAAAAGCCACATTTGTCCGCGGGGTGCCCCCGTCTCCGGCCAAGGGGTAGCCTTACTAGGTCCCCCGTAGTGCCCTTTCTCACCCTCTTTTTGGTTGGGAGGGTTCCCCTACTAAAATAGACTCCGGGAAAAAATCGGGTACCAACTTACTCTAGCCTCTCTACTGGAGGAAAAAAAGCTTAGCTGCGGACCCCGCGCGGGCCTGGCGCGGGCTCTCGGGAGGTTTCTGCCGGGCCAGCCGCTGCGGGACAACGCCCTGCGGCTCTTGGAGCAGCTGCCGGGGCTGTCCCACCAGGTCGGCGGTCGTGGGCGGTCTGCGGGGTGTGCGCGGTGTGTGGTTGGGGCGCGGTTGGTGCGTTCTGTTTTTCAGCAGCGTGTTTTTTCCTTTTTTATATTTCTTTTTTTTTTAAATATATATATATATATATCTGGCTGGTGATGCATAGGGAAGGAATTCTTCGAGTCTGGGTGTTGGTTAAACCGGTGGAAGGGGATTCCCTTGGAGGTTTTTTTTTTTTTTGCGATCTCTCTCGCACCAGATTTTCAAAGGAGGCGGTTCATGTGTTCCGTGACTTGGACTGTAGGCAGCTCACTTGTTGGTTTTGGAAAGATTGGCAAATTTCAGTGGTACCTGCGGTTGGCCCATGCACTCAAGGTGAGAAGGGTTTCGGTTCTTTGACTCCGGCGGTGGGAGGTTACTAGGTTACCACGCCCACCCGACAAGCCGACAGGTCGGGGTTGCGTTCGTGTCTTGAAGTTCCCTTAGCCCAAAAAGTGTACAATATTCTCAGGCGAGCGAGAATCTGCAGATAGAACCCGATTTTTTTGCGCCAAGCCCAGTGGGCCCCATTTTGTCCGCATTTTTTTCCACTTGCTTGCTTGTGGGCAAAAGGCATGATGGGGGTCAGGGTTTGGTGGTTTGGTGGTTGGCTGGGGGGTTTCCCATACTCAAAAGCGGCCGCTATTGATGTCTTGATCTGAAGCTTCCTCACGAAAACAGCTCCGGGGAAAGAACTCTCCGACTGCAAATGCCACGGCCATGAGGGCCTGGGCGAAGGCGAAATACGAAGGGCACCTGGATCCCCAGTGGACAAAATCGTTTTCCAGCGACTTTTGCCTCAAATTGTGGGCTGGTGGGTAAAGTGGCTGGAGAAAAGTGGCTACTTGGGGAGCCACGCCATGTTGTTGCATCGTGCACCGTGGCCTTGGCACATCTTAAAAGAAAGGGTCGCCTCTGGAATGTATCGGGGATCCCAGACCCCACGCGATTTCCAACTGCGTTTGCAATGTAGGGATTTTGGTTTGGTGTTCAACATGCAACCAAAAGGACTCCCTCAGAAAGAGCATCTTTTGAGGCTGTCCTTTTTGAAGGCACTTTGAAGGGTTCCACTACCCCAAAACCAGGTTTTATCAGGTTCTTCCCGCTTGGAAATCCGAGTAGCTTGTCTTTGTAAGGCGCTTCCGCGTTTCCGCCTGACATACCCTTCTACTTCAACGAGCGTTTTGTGGTAATGACCGGCTCCCAAAAGTCAGGCGTTCCGATTTTCCGGATCCCTAAGCATCGAGTAGCACGGTTGGCAGTTCCCAAAGACGTCGCGTCCCCCAAACGCCCGGCCGGTCCCTGGGCGCGCGAAACGCCGCGCCGCCGCGCGATTCGTCAGGCGGACCTGAGCTCGGAGCTGTCGGCGCGGGGGTACTGGGGCTCCTTCAACCGGCCCTTCTTCCAGGCGCCTTCGCTTCGCTTCGCGCCTTGATTCGGGGCTTCGGATGGGAGTGAGTCCAGAGTACACGGAATACCTGCAAGTGGGGTGAGCATGTAGGAGGGCACCCTGGTAGCAGAAGCTACAAAAAAATCCGATGGTGCAGAGCGCACAGGCACCTTGTTGTTCATAGGCCCCATCTCTTCACCATTCCCCTCCACGGTGGTTTTGTGCAACATAGACTCCTTGTGTCCCAAAAAGTGACGTGCTGCGTTCATCCGCTTCGCCCATCCCGAGCCTGCGAATTTGCTCGCAGAAAGTTGTGAGCGGCATACTGGGTTGCACCAAGTCCTACAAGATCGTGGTGATTCATCAGGGCGATCGCCTTCACACCTGCATTGCCAGCGCAGGGAGTCGCCTACGATCGGCAACACGCAGGTAAACACCTGGAAATACTAAACGCCTGGAAAAATACGCGACCTACGGGAAGTGTTTTAGATCGAGTCTCCAATGCAATACTGTATTTATCCTGCTTTCCTCTTTCTGGCGCCTGCCCTTTCCACGGCTTGACCCGGAACAGGGCAACAAAAATCACACCCCGTTTCGGGCCGTTTACCAGAAAGCACATAGGTTCCCCTTTCGTTTTCCAAGAGCCAGTGTGGAGCATGTTTCTTTTCGGGCGATTTAAACATCACAGTTGAGGCCCATTTGGGTCTCTGTTTTGTTGAGCGAAACCAAAAGGAAGCCACCCAATTTGGGGGGTCCCTCTTTGGAGAGGCTGATTTGGGTCTGCTTCGGGTCTTCTTTGGCTCTCCTTCGACTCGTCTAGCTGGGGGTGTCATTTTTCGAGGGTATCCGCAACAAAGGGAAAAAAGGTTTTCCGTGTTTGTTGAGGATACCCTGGGGGCGTCATTTTTCGATGTTTGTTGCCGTTTTTTTTTTTTTCTCCCCCAACAGCTGAAAGCTTTGGGGTCTCAGCCCGGGGTGGCCCTGAGGTAAGGTTCCACGAGGGTTCCACCAGGGTTCCACGAGGTTGCGGGGTGGTGCGAGCACTAAAAAGAGCACATGCTGTTGGGGATATCACCTGAACTTATTTTTTTTGGTTTCAAAGGGGAACCGCAACAAAACGCCTCTTCTCGCCATTTCGTCGGTCCCAACGGACGATGGTTTTCAACATCGAAGGACATTCGGCGGCTGTCCGGCCACGAGAGGGCTGAGGCGCGGAGGGAAGGGGACGACTAAAGAAACGCCTTCCGTCGATGCGTCGAGTTTTTTGGTTTTGGGAACCCCAAAAGGCGTGCTTTTGCTTTTGGGTTCCTGTTAAAACCCATTCATCAGGAGGCATTTATGTCGAGTTTTTCGGTTCTAAAAGGGAACACCCACAAGTTCGTCTTCACTGTTCTTGGCAAGTTTTTTTTTTGGTTCTGTTCATTTTTGATCACTCAGGGGTTGCAAACAAAAACAAGTTCTTTGCTACCATACCAAGAGTTGTAGAGTTGTGGTTTCCCGTTCAAGCCATCCAACAAAGGGGTACCTTCACAAAAGACAGACCATTCGAAGGGTCCAATTTGCAGGGGACAGTCAAACCAGGGGCTTTATGACTCACGCAACCACATCCCTGAAATCCCTAAAGCAACCCCAAAGCCGCTGCCAAATCACCCCTATCATCCAAGAAAAGCCAAGCCAAACCCACAACCCCAAACCCGCCCAGCATGGACGTCTGCCATTGGCCGGGCCAACCCCAAACAAACCAAAGACCCTCCTGACGTGAAGTCGGTGATGCAGGGGATGCCGCCAACTGACCAGGCCAAGAGACTACCGCCGCTTGCCCGAACATGGGTGAGTAAAAATAACCAAGGCTAAAAAAAAGCAAGCACCCGAACCCCCCACCCCCCGTACTCTGCCATCCTGACACATACCTAAACCTGGGGAATGAGGAATCATGGGTTCCCATCAAAATGGGACACGCGTTCCGATTACGTTCTGTGACTTGAACATAATTCCCCTATGTTCAAAGCGCGCATTCGCCACAAACATGACTGCCAGTTGCGTGGCATCTTCCTTGTGTCACCGCCGAATTTTGCGCGTGGATTCATTACTCATCATATGTTTAGGCCTGATTTGCACAGGTCGCCCCCCCAATCCCTACGGGCAAGAAACATTCTTGCGATCGCATCGCATCGCATCATTTTCCCCGGCGGTTGCTACATGAGTCTCAGGAAAGCATTCCGTGCCAACCTTCGAGACTTTTCCCCCGCTGGGAAACAGCTGAAGTGGTTGCAAAGGCTCAAGAGCCAAGCCAAGGCCGGATTTCCAGGTAGGGCCACGGAGCAAAGGAGACGATGCGGACAGGTGCCAGGTGCCGCCCAGGTCCGTTGCTTTAAGCCGGCACTCATGTGACAGTCTGGGTAAGGCAGTCTTGACAAGAACTGTCCACCTCCATGCCCTTTCCAAGAGGGTAAGGGACTTACTCCCCAGGGCAAATCTCCCCACGGGTTGCTTGAAAGGGGGACATTGAGGAGATTCCTCAACTGAGTCTTTTTGTTTTTGTCAGGCTTGATTCGGCTTGATGCCACTTCTTTTCAACCATGCTTCTTCAGGTTTTTGGGCTGGGTTTCCTGAAAAGAAGGATCCCTGTCCAAGTTTTTGGTTTTGGAACTGGGTTTTGATGGGGTTCCTCACTGCTGCGCTTCCCTCCATAGACTAGGTCCCCAGTAGTGCCCTTCTATTCCCTACTAAAAAAAATACGTCCTGAGAAAAGAAATCGGGTACCAACTTCTTCTATCCTCTCAAATCTGGAGGACCTAGTCAATCTCTCGGTTTTTGGGGGCCAAGGATGAAATGCTGAGTGGGGCCACCCCTCTGAGCCCCGATGCCCTCCACATGCCATCCACTTGACTGGAGGACCTAGTCGAACAAAAGTTCGTTGAAACCGCGGAAGTCTATGGAACAAATTGGTTTTGACGGGTTTGATGGGTTTTGATGGGGTTCCTCACTGCTTGGGCGCTTCCCTCGATAGAACGAAAGCTCGTTGAAGCCGCGAGGGGTTCGGTTCGCTTCATCTCCAGGCGGCCTGGGGTGCGCTCTACTCCTTCGAGGCGGCACCCAGGGCGCAGCTGATGCGGAGGTATGGCTCCAGCATCAGCCCCTCGGCGCGAGGCATGGCGTGAGGCATGGCGGGCAGCCCCACAACTTCCGCGGGGGGGTGGGGTGGGTTGGGGTGGGTGGGTGGGGTGGGTGGGGGGGTGGGGTGGGGGGGGCTGGGGCGATGAGCTTTGGTGGCTTTCTTGTCTGAAAACGCCCGTGCAAAAAATGAGGCGACTGCCCCAAGAAGCCGCAGGGAGCTTGGGGCCAGTCACCCTGCCCTTGGGTATGAGGACCGGGGTTTTTACGTGGAGAGACTAGGTACTGTACAGGTGCCCAAGAGCGAACGAACACCTCGATGGCGCTCCGGAGGTCCTTACTTGACTGGCGGCGAACGGCTCACACGAGGCTTTGCAAGACAGTATGTAACCGCTTGCGCATTCGGATACCCACTACCATAGCACCTGACAAGGACCCGGTCCCTTCAAGAGGAAGTTGATCTTCTAGGTACCTTCCAGCCTCGGTTTGTGGGAGGAAGCGGACCTTGGTAGAAGCTTCTCAGAGTCGAGCTTTCAGTTTGGCTTCGGTATCCGTTTGGCTCGTCGGCAGGCTTTTCTTTCCGGGGCTGGTTAGGTTTGTGGGAATACATGCGCGCGCATTTTTTTGTTTGGACCCTGCATCCACCAACATATCAGATCTGTTCAAGCGCTGATATGACGCAATGATCCTTTTTCCAGGACTGTTGCAACAGTGCTGTTGCATGACCTCTTTGAATGGCATCACCATGATGAGAGTTGGCCCGCAGTGGCCAGCAACGCCACTCCCAATTTTGCAGACTCGCTCCCAAAGTCAGGCTGATCTGCCAGCAGAGCTTGGCGAACCGTCATGGCCAACTGGAACTCTTTCTGTTCCCGCAGCTCGACGCATCCACCTTGCAAACCTAACTCGCGCGAGACGGCTTTCAAATCCCAGCCCTGAGCGTCCGTTCTGCCACCGATTCATGAATCATTTAATCCTCAGCCCCCCGTCACGCTGGGCAGGTCGCCTCCAAATCGTCCCCGCCCACACACTTGACAAACATGCTGCGACCACTGTTGAAAGTAGCCCCACGCCCGTCAAACTCAACCACGCCCGCACTCCAGCCACCACCCGCTCCTCGTCCAGCACCTCCTCCCAAAACCCCCACGTGGCGAATCTGAAGCCATAGGCTATGCCCATGGCGGACCGATCCCTGAAGCGTGAGTTGAGCGGCAGGCATTCTGCCTGCATCCAATTTGTCAATGACTGACGCAGGCTGAACTCGCGCGCAAGCTTCACCCTCCCGGCCCTCACGCTTCAGCTGGGGGATGACCACGCCGGTCTTTTTTCTGACGCAACAGTGTCTTTGCAACAACCCAACGTTCCGAGGCCCGAGAACGTTTCACGCCCGTTTCGAGAGGCTTCGCAAGCTTTGTAGCTTTCGGAGAAGCCAACGCCCGCAGAGGTGTGCTCTTGTTCGTGAGTTCTACTTCCGGGCCACACGCCCATGCATTCATTCTTCGTCTTATCTTTGCGCAGATCTATTGTTCAGGTGGTGTCCGCAGCACAGAAGTTCTACTATTACGGCTAATGTTGATATTGGGCTTTATCATCCCCATTCTAAGAAGTATTGCTGTTTTACATATGCTTATTACTGTTGACCCCGTATTAATAAACCCCAGTTGATTAAGATGGGGGTGTTTCGCTCTCCAAAAGTGATGAATGCCCACTAAAAACAGGGACACCCCCCTATGGAAAAACTGGGGTTTATTTGCCCGGGGTTGACATAATTGGTGTGCTTCTTCTTATTTGTTTCATTCTTCCTTGTCTTCTTCTTCTTCTCTTTCTCCTTCTTCTTATTGAATATTGTTCCGATGTTTACTGTGTTCTGGTGATTTTTGCGGACAAAGCGATGCCAAGATGGGGGGCGAACTCGTTTGAGGCGACCTCAGTGGCATGCGCAGCACCATGACGCGGAACGATCCTTCGGACGGGTCGGTGGGTCGTTGGGTGGGGGTGGGTGGCTCTGGGTGGGACATTGCGGGAAGGGTAGACTCAAACCCACAAAACTCCAACGCCCCCTACCCCCTGCAATTTTGAGAGCCCAGATCGTTTCCCTGAATTTCTCAGGCAAAACCTTTGAAGACCTGACAGGGGTCTCTTTTCCAATGCGAAGCCGCCATCCCCAACGCACGAGGGTTGGGCCGGGGTTAGGAGTCATATAGAAGGGTTGCTTCGAACTCCGAAAGCACGACCAAGCCGGAGTGCATGATCGGGACGAGGGCAACACTAGCATAACTCACCAAGCTTGCGAGCCCATGAGGTTGTACCAACTCAACAGAAGCCCATCCAACCCCACCCCGTGCCCCCGCCAAGAAAGAAAACGAAGGGGGCTCCTGGGCCACTTTCGGTGATACTCAGGGAGCCCTTCCAAGTTCCGAGTGGCAAAGTAGCCGCGGGGATGGGCATCAGCAACTGCGCTGCCTGTGTTGTGCTCAGTGGTTCAATTTGCAAAAGCCTGACTCTCTCCCTGGGTTCCTGGACTTTAAACTTTTTGGGAAGACCATTTTGGTGGCAAACAGAAAGTCCAATCCACTCAGGAAGTGTGCTGACCATCCCCCGAGGGGCCCGTTTTTTTTTCGTGTTCCTGGGCGAGAAAGTGGGCGGCCTCGCAGGACGCCACGCCCGGCATGCCCAGCGGAGCCGGGCACGCCATCATGGCCCGCCTGGATTTGGACGCGCCAGGGGCCCTTGGGGGCTGGCTGCACTGGGCCCTCAGGGCTTCCGTGGGGCAGGGGGGTCCGGTTTATTCAACTCTCTGGGGGTGGTCTTGAAGATTAGCTGGTTTTTCTGCAGTGTTTTTATTATTATTATAAATACGATGGTTTGGGGTCTGAGGTTGGACATTTGGAGAACCTTGGCTATCCGAGAAAAGGGATTGGGTCCCCCCATCCCCTCCATGTCTTAAGATGGTAAGGACAGGCACTTAGGGCTAGACTCCCTTCCATCAGACGCGTTCAGAACCCATTGGGCGTGTCTTTGCCGGCTTTTAGTTTCCTCGCTACCATCCTTATGGCGTATCCAAAGGTTTGCTCGGAGCTTTGCCAGCAACACGGCTCACTTGCCCCAGCAAGCCCAGTCTGGTGCTTGGGGCGTTTTGGCCAACTTGACGGGGCCCCGAAACTCCACTTGGTGGAAGTCTCCGCAAGCGAAAGGTGCCATCGACGCACTTCTTTTGCCTTTGCCAGCGCACTCAACATTTTCCGGTGTCCCTTGTTTCTCGTGGGGGTTCTGAACAAAGCCACAAGCTTCAGAAGAATCCCTCTCTCGGACCCGAATCCCCCTTTGTTACGGGGATCCAGAACTTGGCCTCGGGGTTTCCCTTGTCAACGATGGGGGCGGGGGTCTCTGACGGGGGCACTGCAGGATGGTGAACAACATCCCCAACGGCGGAATCGACGCCAAGGCCGGCTCGCTCGGCTTTCGGCAATCCAGACCTCTGCCCTCTGTCCCTTTTGTTGTTTTTCTCCTGGAGAGGGTTTCCCTTTGAAAAGCAGCGCCTCTCGTTGGTTCCTTTTGGAGGGGGTTTCCTCTCAAAAAAAGCGGTCTGAATTCAGGATCCTCCATTTTTATCAAAATTGGCGGGTCTTTGCAGGGCATTCCTTGTGTCGGCATGCGGTTTTCCGGAAAGGATCCCTGAGAACTGGGAGGTTACCCCTGGAGTCTTTGCTTCAGATCTTTCTTTTTTTTTGTTTCTCCTGGAATTAGACATCAAAGGAAGAGCACCTCTTGTTAGGGTTTCCGTCTCACAAAAATAAGCAGTGGGGAAGTTCGCTTTGAAATAGGGCCCGGCGTGCTTTTTTTTCTGAGTTTTGAACAAGAAAGAAAACCATTGGAACCAACTCCATTTGAAGGTGCCCTCTAAAAAAGAGACACAGTGCAGAACCGCTTTGAATGAGGGGGTCCCTTTACTTCAATGCAAAGGTCCCCTATGGCAACTCCGGTCGCCAGCTGGAGCAGCTCTCCAGCTGTGGCATGGGTGTGTGCAGCTGATGCACTTGAGAAGGTGCTGAAGCTTTGGGTGCCGGCTTTTTCCATTCCGTTTAAAGCGTGTCACCTGTTCAGGGCTCCTTAATAGATACATCTTGCCCATTTGAAGCATGTTGCTTTTTCCACCGACATAAAGGCAAACCACCATCTACAAGGCAAAAGGATCCCTGCTGTTCAGTCCCTTTTCAGTCCCGGCGCATTTGGGGGTCTCCCGCCTTTAGAGGGCGGGCGCGCTTGCGCGCTCCAAATCTCTCCCGGTGTCGGACATGGATTTCAAGTGGACCCGGGCACTCTCGAGCGGATCTCAGGTGACAAGCGCCTGCCTCATGAAGACCATGAGGTGCCAGGCTAGGGGTTGGGGAATTGGGGGTTGGGGGGTTGGGGGGTTTGGGGGGTTTGGGGGGTTTGGGGGGTTTGGGGGGTTTGGGGGGTTTGGGGGGTTTGGGGTTTGGGGTTTTTTGTTGGGTTGCAAGGCCGGGATTTGGATTTCAGGCTCATTTCAGGCATGGTGCGTCGTGCATTTTCCTTTGGCACACTTCTTCAACCTCCAAAATGGAGTCCCCACATTTGGTTTGAACCGCGTGCTCATTTTCCTGTGAAGACGCCAGTCACTGACATGCCCGTCGCTGCGGGTTGGGGTTTCCGGGTACTGTATCGGTTTTGCAGGTTGGATGGGTATCGGCAGGCAGGCCCCCATGGGCCTATGCTAATCAGGTTGGGTATTCACGTGAGGTCTGTTAGAGCTACCATCGCTTATGTCAGAAGGCGTTTTTGGTATCGTTTGGCTTATTGGGTTTTGAACAGGCCTCGCATGTGCCAAGCCAACGGAAGATAATTTGCAAGAGCGTCACCATGTCTGTGTCTGTGTGTGCGTGAGGGCGCAAGCGCGCGAGCGAAAGGTAACACGGCTCTTTCGGGCTCAGGGGATCACTACTTTCTGAAGATTGCATGGTTGAAGGTCGCCGACAGCCAGCACGACATAGTGCCGGCACACTGATCTCTTTGCGACACACGATTCAGATTGGAATTGGGCACACTCCTCTCTTGTGCCTTGAGAAGCCATCCAAGGTGGGCGGGGAGGTCCTTGTTATCCAATAGAGTTGATCCACATGTTTTGGTGTGCCCAAAACCTTTTGAGAGTCACTCATAGGATCCAACCCGGTTTGCCCAAGGCGACGTGAATAAGCCCGTAAGATCGCTGGAGGAAACTATTGGCCAGGGCTTCAACACGAGCCCCGTTTCTTTCATTTCAGTTGGCACCTCCAA